CTTTCTATCAAGCACAGCGCCCGCGGGGGACCAGCCCGGGCTGCAGCTGCTCAGGGTGGCGGAGCGAAGGGCTCGATCCGGGACGCGGACCTTTTGTTTTGCCACGACGGGTTGGGAGGACTTGCACTGAGGCCCGCGGCGCGGGAGTCCCGGCCCGGGTGCTGGGAGGTGGGAGGCCAGGCGGGGAGCGTGAAAGCCGGACAGCGGAGACCGGGCTGGAGATGCCGAGCCCGGGGAGGACGGGAGGATCCAGAGGCCGGGCCAGGAGCGTCCAGGCCGGTGGTGAGGGGCAGGGAGGCGGGCGGGCGGGCGGGAAGGAGGAGGCTGCACCCGAGGCCGGGTAGCAGGAGGCTGGGGCCGGGGCGGGAGGCAGCGGGTGCTTGGGGAGTGAGAGTGGCAGCAGTGCGGGCTGAGACTTGGATCGGGAAGGTGCCGAGGAAGATCGGCGACCAGAAACAATGGCCAGCGGGCAGGAGGCCTCGGACGGGAGGCGGGTGCGGTGCCGCCGTTGATGGGGCGCTGGCCCGGCGGCTGACCCTCCCTTTATTGGACTGCGTTGTGGTTTCGGCTCTGTTCTGTCTCAGCTTCGATTTTCTCGCGTTAATTGTGTGACTCAGTTTCCCGGCGAAGTCATTGGAAGCCTTAAACTCCCATTCCTTCCGAGACCTCGTGAATCCTTGCAGCTCATTCATCCAGTGGCTTTGTATCCAAGGCCAAAGTCACCGGGGAGCTGCTTTGAACCCCACCCCATCTACTCTCACCCCCACCCCCATCTACTCTCACCCCCCACCCCCACCCCCACCCCATCTACTCTCACCCCCCACCCCTACCCCCCTCCCAGGCCACGTGGAAGAAGAGGGTCACTCTGTTTTCAGTGTGTCCTGTTCTCAAGGCATCTGCTGCTTTCCTTGTGACACCCAAATAAACAAAAAGCAAAACACTTCACCTTCTGTCTGCTTCTTTCTATCACTGACTTAAGCCACCCTAGGCTCTCACCTGGTTACAGGTCTCCATGCTTCCAGACCTTCTGCCCGCCCCCCCCCCCCCTATTGTTGATAGCACAGAGCGAGGGGTCTTTACAAAATAAAAACTTAGAACGCGGTTCCTTTGCCCGAATGATAAACCCAGTCTCTTAACGCGGTTAACAAAGCCAAGCCCAGGATGGCTCCTTGGTCCCCTCCCCCACCTTATCTTTTTTATAGGGCCTTTTCACTTTCCACATAGCCGTGCATTTGTTTTGTTTTTGTTAGTCCTCCCTTGAGGATATTTTTCCATTGACTTTTAGAGAGAGTAGAAAGGAGGGGGGAGAGACAGAGAGACACATCAATTGGTTGCCTCCCACAGCCCCAACCAGGGCGCGGAATCTAGCCTGCAAGGGGTACATGCCCTTCAAGGGAATCGAACCCAGGACGCTTCTGTCCACAGGCGGTCGCTCTATCCACTGAGCCAAACAGGCCAGGGCAGCCATATGGACCTTTGTACTTGTTCTCTGCCTGAAACACTTGCATTCCCTCCCTCCATCACATCACATTTGCTTGAGGAACCCCGTGTATGTTTCTGCTCTTACTAAACACTCCACAGTTTTCCTATTAGTGTCCCTTTTGCATGTGTCACTTCCTAAAAAAAAAAAGTCATATCCTTTGCAGTTGCTTGTTGACTGTTTTTTTCCATACCCAGGGCCTGGAACTGTCCACCCTGCAGATTTATGCTTTCTAATTACTACGCCCTATCGAGAAAAGCTAAACCGTTTCAGGATTACTTAGCAAATTAGAAGATGTGGATCGGAAAGGAATGGTAGAGGTGAAATACGGAGTTGCTGGAACCATGTGAGTGTGCAGGGTTGTAACAGGTGCCAGCACGGTGCTTAGACCAGCCTGTATGGAAGTGTGCTCAGCCAGTTTGAGTGACGTGTTGTACATACGTGACCTCTAAGAATGAAATGTAAAGCTTAAATCATTCCTGTCACAACCTGATGTTTGAGTTTTGGTTTCTGCTCTTTTGCAAAAGAAGGCTGTTGAAAGTTATAATGTATTTTAATGAATGAATGGACAGTTTATTGGAGTTTGGCAATAAAACCTGTTCACAGTAAAAAAAAAAAAAAGAGAGAGAGAGAGAGATGAACCTCTGTACCTAATTAAATCAGGTTTGCTTTTACTATCCTGGAAAAAGACCTTGCCTCTGATAAAGACATTTACAATGCTTCTTTGCTGTTTTGCTTTCAAATTTAATTTAACACAATCTCTTAACGCTTCATCCCCCTTCTAATGCTAGAAAGCAGTCTTTATATTCATGAATGGCATTAAATCCATTCTGGTGCCTACTTTTAGATAGTTTTTTTAAGCTCTGTTTCACAGATGGGAGCACTGACTGATGTTTGTGGGGCTTTCTTAGAGTGGGAATTCTTAGATGTGGGAATTCTTAGACTGTTGGATACTGTTTTGTACACATTTAACAAATATGAATGTAATGGAGGGGGCTAGGGAATAGGTCCTCTGTAGTCAGAGGACCTGAGGCCTGGTCCCAAGGGCGGCACTCACTAGCTCACCCTTAAATTAGGCGTAAGTAATACACATGCCTCAGGCGGTGGCTGTGGGTGTAAAATGTGTTATCTGTGACAATGCTTTGTAAATCTCTATGTAATGTTGTTATTTCCCTGCCTGTTTTGTTCTTGCCTTCAAATTGCTAATAGAGCTTCTGAATTAGGGTGGATAAGATGACATTATCTGACACAAACTTGACCTTGTCTGGCCTCTGCCTGGTTGGGCCACTTTGGAATACCAGTGAGCATTGTGTAAGTCC